AGGTGGTGGGCTAGGATTTGAACTCAAGAAGTTTAGTGGGTACAGAGTTTCACTTTGGTGTGATTTTAAAAAGTTCTGGAGAGGGATGGTTGCCCAATTATGTGAATGCACTTAATGCCACTGAACAGTACATGTAAAAATAATTTAAATGGTAAATTTTGCTATGTGTATTTGACTAACTAATTCATTAAAGATACCATTCCCAAGTGAAAAAAAAAGGTAAAATGTGCATTTCCTTGGGACCTGGAAAATCCACTTTGAGATATAATAATGAACAAGTGGAAATAACATACATGATCATCCACAGGGGAAGAACTAAATGGGACGTATTCATCCCACAGAGCACTACATAGCAGCGAAAACACAACCGGTCTGTATTACTAATATGAAAAATCTCTTAGGAATGTTGTTAAGCAAAAAAAAAAAAAAGCAGACTTCTCTATATAGTATGAATCAATGTATGCAAACACACACACACTCAGAAAGCACCATTTATTTTCTGCAAGTTGTGCTTGTTTTGAAAACATAAATTTGTTCCATCGTGATTGATGTATTTGGGAACAATCTGAGCATAACCGAATTTTGTGTTTGCTCATGCATGGTTTCCTCCACAAGAAACACTGGGTCAACGCAGAAAATTGCACCCAGCTGAACTGACCACACAGGAACACATGAAACAAACACCCTCCACCCCCCAACCCCCACCTCCAACCCCTTCCAGCTGCCCTGGTGCACCGTGCGTGCCGGAGCCAAACCCATCTACACTGAGCTACCACTTTCTGATTTCAGACAGCCTCCTTCTACCCATCCACAAGAATTCACAACCTGTAACCCTCCTGGCATCACTTCCACAAGGGAAGTTCAGGACTCTGCCAGAGTCAAGTTCATAGTTGTGACAGCATTTAAGTCCTTCCTAACCATTTAACACGTGTAAAACTGCACTATCATTCTTATAAGCATCCTTTTTTTTTTTTTTAACGTTTTACTGACAAGGTTTTTGAGTGTGGCCCCCTTCCCTTATTCTTTTCATAAGCCCCGCAGTTTGTACTGTGAGATTTTGCACAGCGCCGTAACTTTAGGAATACACATGCTACATTTAGCAGAACTGACTGTATGTACGTTTTTTTCTAATATAAACACACATATACATACGTGTATGTGGATAAATTAAGTCAAAATTGATAAATCGATAACAGTGAGCTTATCACTGGGGTGGGGAGGTCGGAGGAAGTGGTTAGAAGGACGTTACTTTTCTATGTATAGGTTTGTTTTGTTTTGTTTTGTTTTTGACAAGAAATGTCATTAATTTTAATTGTGTAGCTAAAATTTTTAATTTAAAGAAAAGGGATTCACTGTTTCTACACCCATGATCATAACAACACCACGCACAAGAGCCAAGAGGTGGAAGCAACCCAGATGTCTACTGATGGAGAAACAGATAAACAAAATGGGATCTATCCATACAATGGAATAGGATTCCGCCTTAAAAATAAGGAAATCCTGTCACATGCTACATGGATGAACCTTAAGGACGTTATGCTCTGTGAAACAAGCCAGACACAAAAGGACAAATACTGTCTGACTCCACTTCTGTGAGCTTCCTAGTGTTGTCACATTCAGAGAGAAAGCAGAAAGGTGGCTAGCAGGGGTTGAAGGGAGTTAGTGTTTAATGAACACCAAGTTTCAGTTTTGCAAGATGAAAAGAGTTTTCAAGATCTATGGCACAAGAAGGTGAATATACTTAAAACTACTGAAAATGATTAAGATGGTAAATTTTATGTGTTTTTTTTAACACCATTACATTAAAAAAAATCCACATTGACAAACCAATATACTACATGAAAAGCTGCACTGATAAAGCTACACAGAAAGATATGGAATGGCCCATTTCCTGAAGCTTCTAGAACAATGCTCAGTCCCTGCAAAAGAACGTAAAAGGAGCTGGTTGACTCTGGTTCATCCGCTCGCAGGGCTGGCTGGCTGATTGATTGGCGGAGGCACGATGCCCCACCCAGGGGCTTAATTTGAGCCCGGAGTCAGGAGGGCGCCATAAATAACGCGTTAACCACCGACTCCTCGACTCCTCGCAGGGCCAGGCATCCAGCAAAGTGCTGCGTGGCTTTGTCCCTCCAGATCTGCTGTGAAACCAGATCCTGCCTGTCATCCACCAAGAAGGTGCCCAGAAAATCTACGACCAGGCACACAAGCAGAGAAGCACAGGGGCTGCGGGTCAGCCAGGGCTTCCAGACTCTGTCCCCCTCGCCACCCGCAGATGCCCTCGGTGGCCCTGCCAGCTGCTCCCAGAGAGGCCCGGGGATGAAATGGCACTCCTGCGTGTGTGTGCGCTGCACAGCGGGGGGACGCAAAAGGTCTGCGCCCACACCCCAGAGGCAGGTGTTCCGCAAGCCTCCCACGCAGGCCTGCCAAAGTCGTCCCCCCTGCTTTCCCGGGGCCCTGAGTGATCCTCAGACGTGCCCTGGGCCACAGCCACCGCTTTCAGCAGCAATCAAACTAATGGCCTGCATCTGCCCACCCTGATGAGCGGGTGGGTCGAGGCGACAGCACTGCCAAGCATTCGTGCTCCCAGCATCTCTGAGCCGTCAGAGGAAGGAAGGAGCACTCTAGCCAGCTCTGTCCCTGCCAGGCAGGCTGGGAAGTGTTGTCTCCTCACTCAGAAACGCCCTTCCCACCTCTTGGCCCTCCTGACTCTCAGGCACCCTTCAAGGTTCAGTGAATGCCTCCTCCTCCAGGAAGCCTCCATGATCGCAGCTCTCCTGCCTCTGCTCTGCCCCATGCCGGGCCAGACAGAAGCCCTTTCAGGCGTATCCCCCTGTACCCAGCCCCCTGCTTGGCACAGAGGAGACTGGTTAATGGTTGCTAAACAAGATGGGAAGGAAGATGAGGTCTTCTCAAGGCTGACAGTCAAGAGCAGGAGGATCTTAAAGCCAGAAGATATCTTAGTGGGACCTATGGGCATCACCATTTTCTACACTGCTTACCCTTTCTTGAGAATCTGATCAAAAGCCATCTCCATAAAGGCACATGTTCATTCACACTCATACACAAAATGTTCAGGGACCATTCTGACAAAGCTGAACACAGTTACCACGCGATCCAGCAATTCCACTCCAAGTTATAGACTCAAGGGACATGAAGGTACATGTCCACGCAAAAACATGCATGTGAATGTCTGTAGCTGCATTATTCATACTAGCCAAAAGGTGGAAATAACCCAAACCTCCACCAACTGATGAACGCATAAACAAAACGCAGTGTATATACATGCAATGGAATGTTATTCAGTCCTAAAAAGAAATGAAAGTACTGATACATACTTTATCATGGATGAAGCTCAAAAAAACATGATGCTGAGTGCAAGAAGCCAACCACAAAAGGCCACATATGGTAGGAGTCCATTTGCATGAAATGACCAGAATCGGTAAATCCACAGAGACGGAGAACAGACAGGTGTTGGCCAGGGGCTGGGGGGAGGAGCATGACTGCTTGAAAATATTTGCTCTTAAATACTCAGGAAAAAAATATTTGGAACTAGACAGAGGTGGTGGTCGCAAAACACTGTGGATGGACTAAAGGCTACTGCGTTGTTTTAAAATGGTTAATTTTATGTTACGTGAATCTTCCCTCAATTAAAAAAAAAAATCCAGGGAACTTCAAGTTCATTCCTATAGGCATCTTCTCTTCCAGGCCCCCAAATGAAAGACCCAGAGTAACATCATTCTTTTTCTTTCATGGTTGGAGATATGAAAGTCCAGAGAGGAAACGGAAGTTGCTTCTGCTCTTAGATCTGGAACTGGGGGTCCCTGACTCCCCATCCACTGCTCTTTCCGCATCTCTCCAAGATGCTTCTCACGCCCTGCTCACCTCTCAGACACCTGTGTCCCCTGCATGTTTTCTTTCTCTAAACCTCAGTTTCTCCCTATATAAAACTGGAAGTTTGGCCAAGACATATTTCTTATATGACTGATGGTAGTATCTGGATGAGCAGTAATTCATTTTTATTCTAACAGTTGTCATTTTTAACATGCACCAGAAAACAAAAATTACACTGAGCTAATCAAACCATAAGCAACAGAGACTAAAGGATGTGTGTATAAATGTTTCCCTCTTTTTCTTAACTTTCCATTAATGCTTGTTTTTCTTTTTAAAAAAAAAAAGCTCACATTTGACACACAAAAGCCAGAGGGCTTGAAATTGCCCATATCCTTTATTGGTAAGGAAACTCATGTTGGCTAGCCTTAAAATAGATGTTGTTCTTTTTTTTCAAGTGAGTCAGTTTAGAGGAAAATATTAAGAAAATAATCCTACAGGTGGTGTAATCATGGAAAAAAGGGCTAAGAACGTGACTAATTACAGTTCAAGACTGGCTGAATGGCAGCTGTGACATTCTACGACCCCATGACAAGCTCTGGGCGTCCCCTGCTCCTGGCATGGTTATTTAGGGTTTCAGCCTAAAACACATCAGTCGAGACTGACAATGAGGCAGGTGGGGGCCCTGAGAGGCCTTCTCTCTGGCAAACATGCGAAGCTTTGTCTCCAAATCGCTCCATGCTCCTTACTCTGGGTGATCTGCAACCTTGGGACCCATGACTGACCTGTCCACTTCCCCCTGCTGGCCCCTCTTCTTGCCTCCCAGGATACCTGGACCATAAAGCCATCCTTCAACGCCAAGCAGTGGGCCAGCTGCCCCGCTGACAGGGGACTTTAACGGAAGGGTATAGGTGTATCCTATTCTGGGGGATGTCTACATTTAAACCATGTCCCCAGAAAGGTCTTTAATTGAAGCCCCGGAGCATACCTCTCTGATGGTGGAATTTGAGGCCATGTGACAGGTGGTACGGGGAGACATTTTTGAACTGCGGGGTCCTTGCCAACATCTTCCAAGCACACCCCCGAGGCAGCTGCCGGCTTGTCCCACATTTGGACAAGCACGTGGTTCCCTTCCTGGACAAATTCATCTGGTGGGAGGGGGGCAAGTTCAGCCTGGCTGGGCTGGCTGACAGCTCCCAAGTCCTCCGCAAGTTACTTTGCCACACACCCTCTCCCCTCCACAAGTTCAACCAAGCTCTTGATGGAGCTGAAAGAACACAGACCTTGGAGCCAGAAAGACCTGAGTTGAAGTTCTGGCTCTCACCCCCCGGCTGTGTGGCTCAGGGTTCAGCTCTTCACCTCTCTGAGCCTCCAGACTCCTCACCTCCAACACGAGGTGAGTCATCCCAACTTTGCAGGTTACGCTTAGCACATAGTAGGTGCTCGGTCAGCAGTTAAGTATTATTTTAAGGAAAATATGAATTCTTTTTTAGACAGAGCCCCTTGAACTGAATGGCTTGGGAACTAAAATTAGACACAGACCAACAAAATATAATCTGTGTGTGTATGTATGCGGGGGGGTGGTGCTGAGCAACAGGAAAAAAAATAATGGATGGACTGGAAAACAAAAAAGAACATCTCTCTCAATACTTGTTTTGTACTTTGGGGGACTGAACCAGCCAACAGTATTACTTCCTCCAGAAATTAAATTCAAAGCTATGCATCACGTAGTCCAGGGCCCAGGTCACCTCTCCCCAGAGGACATCCCCGCCTCCGCCCCCTGACCACAAACAGGGGCATCTCTTTGTCCCGCCTCTGAATTCAGTTTGCAAAAGAGCCCAAGTGAGAAGCGAAAAGGAGGGCAACTTCAGAGCAGGCTGTTAGATTTAGCCAAGCAACTGGTCTCCCCCGTCGCTAATTAAGTTAATCCGGTGGGTTTGTCTTTTCTTTTTCTTGCCTGATTTCCTCCCACGGAATCAGCCTGGACATTAGAGAAGAATGTGCCTGGTAACGCCACCACGCAGGCCTTCCCTTCAGCTGACAAAATGCATTAGCGCCAGAGGGGAGGAGACGTCTCCCCCATGCAAGACACGAGTCATAAAAACCCTGTTTTGTTCTCAGCTGACCAGCCAGTGCATGTGCCCGGGTAAGGAGATCGACTTTCTGCAGGGCTCCCCCTCCCTCTCCCCCAGCATCTCCACCACCCGCCCCCTTCTCATGTTTGGGCCTTTTTGATCTGTCATAACATTGTGTCTGTTTATCCGAAATATTTCCCCTCAAAACGCTTGTTTCTTCAACCCGACTGACATGTTGATACAGCTCCTGACAGCTGAGTGACTCCGATTGAAATAAAATGTAAAGTAAACACATTTGCATACAGTTTACATACGGCCTGGGTCTGAGGAAGGAGAGGAAGTAAGGAGACTGAAATCGGAATTTCTTATCTTGCATCGCCTGGCCTTGGGGTCCCTCCCTTTTCTTTTTTCCAGCTCTCTGCTCCTGGAATGCCCCAGGACGTCAGGCATGGGCCCGCCATCGGGGTTGGAAAAACTTCCTCGGGAGTTCTTCCTCAGTGGGTACATTTGAAGGCCACGGCGATTTTCTTTGGAAATGTCTTCTCCGATGTTTCTCCAGATCTGAGGGTCACAGTCCGAGTGAATGTGAACAAGGGAGTTCTGGGCGTTTTGGGTGGCAACCCTCCCTTCTTTGAAGCTGTTTCTCTAAAATGAGGGAGTTGCACTGACAATGATCTTCCATGTATACCTTCTCAGATATTCACAAATGCCACTCTTAGTCCTTGAGATGGCCTGTCACATCCTGAGCCTCACTTCTTATCTCCCCCTACGTCCTTAGGAAATGGACTTCTGACTTCTTTCTGTCTCAGCCTGGGTCCCTAAATGTGGATTTCCCAGCTAATTGCAAAAGAAAACATAGATGAAGCAAGAAATAAACCTTGGCTGATGTAATCCACAGATACTTTGGGATAATTTGTTACTGTAGCACAACCTGGACCATCCTGACTGATACAACAACCAACCTTTCTTAAACAGCTCCTTGCTGCGCTTTACCCCAGAACAAACCAAATAAAGTTGCTCACATGAGAACTCTACCTAACTCCTCACTCCTTCTCTGCTGTCACAAAGGAAATCATAAAGTAGCACTCAGAACATCCAGGGATAGCCAATGCCTCCAGCATATGCCTGTGGGAAACACCGTTAACTGAGTATAGCACCTTTTCTCACGAAGCCTCACACAGCCTCAGAATCCCACTCAACACAGCCCTCCAAGTACCTGCTACAAAGTGATCAGAACTGACTCTCAAGATGCCACTTGTCAAAGGGGGAAGGGTGGGAAGGGATAAATTAGGGGTTGGGGATTAAAAGATACACACTACTATATATCAAATAGATAAACAACAAGGACCTGCTGTAGAGCACAGGGAGCTATTATCAACTTCTTGTAATAACATACAATGGAAAAGAATCTGAAAAGAAAAACTATGTATGTATGTACGTGTAACTGAATCACTTTGCTGTGCACCTGAAACTAACATTGTAAATCAACTTCACTTCAATTAAAAAAAAAATGCCATTTGTTTCCAGCCTCTCATCTCACCTAGTGGTTCTCAAAGTGGGGTTCCTGGAACAGAGGTGACTGCTGAGCAGGGAACCTGTTAGAAATGCAAATTCTGAGGTCCCCTCAGAGACCAACTGAGTCAGACACCTGGCGGGTGTGGCCAGTAACACCAGCCTGCACTGGATCACAAGAGCCACAATTGGAATATTTACATGGACACTGGTGAAACATCAGGGCTTCTCCTCCACTACCCCCACATCAATCACAGGAAGCCTGGGATTAAGCATTTACCAGCCCACCATTGGATGGAGCCCAGAAATTTGTGTTTTAAGATGTTCTCCAAGTGATTCTGAAGCACACAAATGCTTAGCAACCAATGCCCTAGGGGGTGGGGGTGGGGAAAGGTCAGCAGGTAGAACGCGCAAGAAGTCCTGGGTTCAATCCCCAGTACCTCCATCAACAAAATCCAAAAAACTGGCATAAAAAAGAACCACTGCTCCTCATTGGAAAAAAAAAAAAATCAGTGACCCTCAATTGGAATTATCTGGGCAGCTTTTAAAAATATACTCATGTTAGGGCCCCAACATCTCAAACCAGGGAGATCTGAATCTTGGGGGCAGGACCCTTGGGAATTTCTCACGCGCAGTCAAGTTTGAGATCCACCAGCCCAAACCGTGCTTCTCAAGCTTTAATATGTGTCTGCAGCTCCTGGGGATCTTGTCGAAAGAGCAGATTCTGATTCCCCAGGCGGATCGTGCTGTTGGGTCGAGGACTGCACTTTTGAGTAGCCAGGCTGTAAACCCCCCCTTTCGATTGCCCCTGCTCCCGGCAGTCATCCTCCCCAGAGCCCATCTACAGATGCACCTGGATCCTTCACTCTCATCAGGACAGCCTGGGACGACCACAGAGCAGGTTTGACTCACCTGCCCACCACGTGGGCGCATCTCAAAATGGGTATGTACATAGCCTGTAAAGAAAGGCCTTTTCCAGGACCCAAACTGCCCTCTAGGTGATCAGAGCCACAGTCACACCACGCCTGGAGGTTGGCAGAGGTTGGCATGGGGTGGGCGGCCACCCTGCGGATGCAAAGCCTGGTCAACTAACCCTCCCCGCCCCACCCCGCTTCCTGCTTCTCTTCCAAGGCCCTCTGCTCATAGGTGGGGCCGGGTGGCAGGGAATTTTTCCTACACTCTGCCCACTCTCCAGGGACCAGCTTGCAAGCAGGATGGACAGCCAGTAGCTGGTCTTACCATCACACCACTGGCCGGAAACCTCTCTCCTAGGAAAGGAAGGTGAGGGCAGCCTCAGATCCTGTGAGCGACACCAGATGAGAAGGCAGAGAAGGGAGGTCTGAGGAAGCATTCTAAAATTATTTAATCATGCCATCAGGAATGTGTCAAGCGGTCTGTGCCTGTCACACCTCCTGGCCTTTTCCCGTGCTGTTCCCCGCGCCCAAGATGCCTTCCCAATTCTTCTCCTATACCAAAATCACCATCCTCATCCTCATCCTCCCAAACAGGAACTGAGCATCTTAAATGGGCCACAGACTGGGCTGAGAATTTTACACGGATTAGCTCACAGCCATGCCACCAGGGATTACCGTTGGCCCTTTATAACAGATCAGGAAGCAGGGGCTTGGCGAGGAAAAGCGGCTGCCCAAAGCAACATCACAAGGCTCAGAGCCAGGATCTAAACCCAGGTCAACTGGGTTCAAGGGTCAATGCACTTACTAGAGCCCTAGAAGATAGTCCAAGCATTCTCTCTTCTAAGATTTTTTCCAGGGTTACTCACTCGCAAACACACAGGCCCTCCTATGTGCTCCCACAGCCCAGTGTGTGTTCTCTCTCTCACAGCCCTTGCTGCACGACCTTACTTTGCACCTCAGGGCCTTTGCACTTGTGGTTCCTTCCACTTGGAATGGAATGTTCTTCTCCAGTGAGACTTAGGGCTTCACCTCATCCAAGTTGGTATTCAGTTTCCTAGGGTTGCTGTAACAAATGACTACAAACTTGGTGGCTTAAAACACCACCAGAAAACTATTCTTTGAGGAAAGAAAAAGAATGAGACGCACAGAGAGAAATGACATGATGCCACATGGTCGTAAAGAGACAAAGTAACATCTGATCCTGAACTTCAGTTCTTCATTCTGATCTGTTCTCACCTTGCTACACAGCCTCAATTTGTTGGGGATTTTGTTTCTTATAAATAAGAAACCCTGATTAAGACGTTAATGATGATCTCTGGAGTAGGCTGGATAAATCTTATTTATGTCTGCCCAGGAATCTTTTCCATCCCATTTCTTCTGGCCCCTTGACTGTCTATTGGACACATTCTCCTCCAGGCCTGGTCCATCATAGGCCTGATCCACACAATGATAGTAACTGGCAAGGAAGGTCACATGACACGCCTAAAAGGGGGCCGGTCAGAGCCCTTCCCTGGGAGTCACACACCGATGCTGGGAAGAAGACTAGTTCTCTTCCCATGAGGATCAAGGAGCTGTCTGAAGACACTGGAGGCCATTTCTCCCACCACATGGGTGCGGTCTATACTGGGAGCCTGAGCAAAAGCAAACACAAGCGAGAGAGGAAGAGGGGAAGGCAGAAAAAGAAAAGGGGGGAATTAATTCTGATTTCAGTTCTAGGTCCCGATTCCTGCCTTTCTTCTTCCCATCATGTAAGGTATCCTACTCTCCTTTCAGGGATGAAAATGGTTAAATCCTTTTTCAGGACTTAACGCTGATGGAATCTGCATTTCTATTCATTCAAACAGGTATATTCGTGCACAAACGTTCATAGCAGCATTACTCACGGTAGGTAAAAGGTGGAAACCCTCCCCCCCCAGTGTTCATGGACAGATGAATGGATAAAAAAACGTGGTATTTACGTACAACGGAACACGTACAGCGGAATACACACACCAGGGAAGGAGAAATTCTGACACCTGCTACAACATGGCTGAACCTTGATGTTATGCTAAGTGAAATTAGCTGGTCACAAAAGGGCACCTACTGTATGATTCCACTCGCAGGACGGACCTAGTGCTGTCAAGGTCACAGAGACAAAGGAGAAGCATGATGGCCGTCAGGGGCTGAGGGGAGGGAGGGGTGGAGACTTTCAGTTTCAGATGACGACAAAGTTCTGGAGATGGTTGCCCAACCACAGAAATGTACTTAATGCTACTAAACTACACATTTATAAATAATGAAAATGGTAAGTTGATGTTATGTATACTTGACCACCATTTTTTTAAGTAAGAAAAAAATTCCACACATACATCCATCCATGATCCACTGAACTCCTAACACCAAATGCTCTCCTGGCAGTCCCCCCCCACTACAGCTCACCCCATGGGCAGAGTGGAGGGAGAGGCAAATGAGGCCCCCTCCATGGCTGGCCCCCAAGACCCGCATCTTCCAAGAGCACTCTGGGTTCAGCCAAGCCCCAAGCCCATTTCGCCTGCAGCCCTCCATTCCGGCCATAATGAAATTACGCGTGTGCGCTTACAGGGAAAGGGAGCAGGTATGGTTCTCATTTATTTACGCTCAGCGCCTCAGAACCCAGTGGGGTAGTCGCTGTTTGATGTCGGAGGCACCCCGCAAGGCCTCTGCATCATCAGCCTCCATTTCCCTCAGTAACAAGAAACCAAGGTTCACTCGGACTAAATTGTCTTGAAAGTCGGAGCAGAGAAGGGGTTCCAAACATGGAGCTTGCCAAAGAAATGCATTCCCCCATGCAAAGTAGGCATGAAGTAAGGATCTGGTTCCTGGGACCCCAGGGCTTCCCACGGAATTCAGAAATTCAGACTTCTCCCCCAGATCTCAGGAGCACTGTGGTACAGAGTCATTTAGGAAGAGAACACACAGAAAGGACCTTGACCAAGAACTTACTATGACGTCTGGGACTTGACAGGTGTTTGCTCCATAAAACCCCATTTTTCTGCTGGGGAAACGAGGCTTGGAGAGGTTAACAGAATGGATTAAGATGTTAAGTGGAGCTTCAACTTGGATCGGGCCGATGCCAGCGTCTATGTTACCTCAGCTTAAGCACCTGTTGGAGTAACTGTGGCTGTCACAAATCACCCCCAGCCTGTCACGTAAAACCACCACCATTTCGTGATGTTTGCAGATTCTACGAGTCAGAAATTTAGAAAAGGTAGAGCCGGTTATTATGAGTTAAAGTGTGTCCCCCCGACAAAGAGATATGTGGAGGCCTTCACCCCCAGTATCTCAGAATGTGACCTGATTTGGAAATAGGGTCTTTACAGAGATCATCAGATTAACGTGAGGTCCTTAGGGACATCTTATCAATAGGACTGCTGTCCTTATAAAAACAGGAAATTTGGTACACTATTGGTGGGATAGTAAATTAGTACAACCAGTATGGAAAACGATATGAAGGGTCCTCAAAAGCTAAAAATAGAACTACCAGATGGTCCAGCAATCTCACCTCTGGGTATTGACACAAAGAAAACCAACACTCTAATTTGAAGAGATATATGCACACCAATGTTTGTTGAAGCACTGTTTACAATAGCCAAGCTATGGAAGCAACCTAAGTGTCCGTTGTCAGATGACTGGATAAAGAAGACATGGGCTATATATACACAATAGAATATTACGCAGCCATAAGAGAAATTAAATCTTGCCATTTGCGACTGACATGGATAAATCCAGAGGGAACCACGCTAAGTGAAATAAGTCAGAGAAAGAAAAATACCATAAGGTCTCGCTTCTAGGCGAAGTCTAAGAAACAAAAAAAACAAATCAATACCCAATGACTCGGCAGCAGTCTTAAGAATGCAAGTGTTCTTTCCTGCCACCACTTGGGAGGAAGGCCCAGGCAGCGTGGGGACAGGCTGGGATCTTCCCGGCGGGTGTCATTCTGCGTGGCTCCACTTCAAAAGCGGATTTCCCCCCATGGGGCGCTCTTTTCATCACTGCTCCTGAGACTAAAAGGTGTCCCCTTATTGCATCAAGTGCCCAGGCTCCAAGGCCAACGGGCACGAGGACTGGGCCGCCCCGCCCAACCATGACCTTACGGAATGCCCTTTCGCCGAGGTGGGAGCTGGCAGAGCAGGCCCAGGGCACAGGGTTAGGCCCTGATAACCTGAGATCAAAGCAGCCTGTCAGCAGTGTCAGCTGAGAGGCCGCCAAGACAAGCGACGCGGGCAGCTTTATCTCCCGGCTGGCCCGGGAGCCGGGGCGGGCAAAGCACCACGGTTCCCGGAAACTATTTCTGGAAGGGCCAGGAGGGAGCCGACGGTGCCCTTACTTGTGGCCCGCTGGCTCGGGGTCTGTCTGCTGCAATCTCGCTCACCCCGCGTGGTTTCCTCCATCCCACGTTTCAGTTCTTTCCTGCTCTTTCAGCCCCAATTTTCCATTCTCATATGTCCGTGTGCACACACGCAATAAAGATCGTTTTCTTTGCCCTGCAATTCCTGTTCTCACTTTCTCTCGTTCACACACAGAAGATGGCGTTGCCCCCACCTCCCTGCCAACACACACACAGCTGCCTCTTTCTCTCCCGGCCTCTTCCATTCCCGCACATAACTAGTTCTCGCCCACCTTTCTTTATACCCATGGGCCTTCTCACACGTGCACACACACACACACACTCACACCTGCCTGGGTTCCAATCTCCAAACTCTCTTAAACCAGAATCCAAAGACAACTGCCAATTAAAACAATAAAAACTCCTCGCCTTCCTTTCGGTTATTATGAACTCTGGGACCATTTCCACCAGCTGATGCCTGGGTTTTTTTTTTTCCCTTTCCCCTTCAAGGTGTTGACCTCTTTGTTTGCAGCTGGAAGAAACCCAGCCACTGTTCTTGCTCCAGCTGTGGCCTCTGTCAGCTGGGCGGCCCACAGGTGGCCGGTTTCAAACACGTCAACTGTAGCCCAGTTATCTCGGCGCTTTTTAAAAGGAAAAGGGGAGGGGGTGATGTCTACCCTCCCAATATATTATGAGCAATTCCAGAAACTTCTGCACACCGAAAGTTTGAATTTCCCTCTCTACCCTTAAACTCACACTTGGTCTCTTCCCCAGGGGCCCAGCCTGGCTGCAGGAAGACAGAGAGAGAGGGACATTGATATGCTTGCTACTTTCTGCCCGAAGCACCTGTAGGCTTCGGAATGCCATCAGGGCAGCTGGGCTGGTAGAATGGGAGACATAGCAGGAAGGGGAGACAATTGTTCGGGGAGTCCCGCCACTGCCCCAAGACAAATGGAAGGAAAGGTGCATCTACCGAGCCCCTGCTGTGCGCTGGGTACCTTGCCAACCTGTGCTGGGAGATGTTGTCCTTTGAGAGGTGGTGGGTCCCGCTCTCAGAACAGCGCCAGACGCACGCTAAACACTCAATACTTGGAAAATATGTTTCTCTCTCTCTTCCTCTTATTTTTTTTTAAACCATCTTCCCAACCCTCTTGGATGGCTACCCACATTTGGTAAATGAGGAAAATGAAGCTCAGAGGGGTTGGGTGACAACCACTTAAAACACAGCCTGTAAATCAGCCCGTGTCTCCCTCTCCTCTTTCTGCCCACCAGGTAGCAACACGGTGCACTGGGGGAAACTGTGTTACATCCTTTTGCTTTTTCCACAGAAGGATGCAAACTCCTAGTTTTGGAAATGGGTGTCTCCTAGCTTCTTTCAGACCTGGTTAAATCCAAATTTCCGAGTATAGACCCTGAAAGGGCTCGTACAGATGCCTAGGACCCAATCACCCGGGTTGTAGAGCAAAAGCAAACTGCACCAAGAGGAAGAACAGAGGAGCTGTATGATTTTTACCTACCCTCCTCAGGGCAACAACTTCTCCACGCTGCTTTGGGGAGACGAACCTTCTTTTACTGGAATATAATCATAGCGGAACAGTCCGGCATGACGTCACTACCGGAGGGCAGGGCCTAGGGCCGAAGCTCAGCCAATCAGACGCTCCCCCCAGGAATTCACACCTGAAGCTGCTTCTGAGGTTTGCAGCCCCTTGATGGTCTTCAGCTGAGTCTATTAATTCCTGCTACCCGGCGCCTCTACCTCCTGTGTTTTCCGAGACTTTGTTTTCCCCCCTCATATCCTTCCAGTAAATTCCTTCTTTGCTTAAGTTAATGAAAGTCACTTTGGGTGCTTTCAATCAGAGAATTCTAAGTGCTACAGGAAGGCACGCAGCCAAACTCACCCAGCAAGGCAGTGGCAGAGAGACTGGAATCTTCCGAATCCCAGTTCATTCCTTCCTCTAGTGCCTGGAAGGATCTGAGTGGCTTGCTTCTTTCACCCTCCACATTGCGTAACAGCTCTGAGCCTCAATTTCCATAACTGAAAAAAAAAATGGCAATATTAATTAGATCAAATGCTATGAAACTGCAAGTTTTACAGCTCAAAAAGGTGGGGGAGGGCAAATATATTGGCAATATCATACTAAACGTGTCCAGATCCTAATTCCAATTCGTTGGAAGGCAGGTTTCCCCACACCACCAAACAATTCTCTGACACCAGCTGGGTGTCCTACTATTTAACTCAATTCTACGCAGAGACAGAGTCAAATTCCACAGGTTAAGTGCTCAGTCCCACAAGACTCCCCGCCCCTCCCCCTGCTTCAGGTTGTTACTTGGGCTTCTGATGGACCAGCTACAAACTGGGGGTTCCAACAACCCCCTCCAGCTCAGAATCCTAATCTCAAGTCCAGGTTGTCACCTGTACTTTTGACCAATTGGCTATAAATCAGAGGTTCCCGCCACCCCCTCTACGGGTTCGCTTAATTTGCTAGAGCAGCTCACAGAACTCAGGAAAACCCTTTACTCACTAGATTATCAGTTTATCCTAAAAGCATGTAACTCAGGAATAACCAGACGGGAGAGATGCACAGGGCAAGGCATGTGAGGGGAGGCCTGAGGCTTTTGCGTTCTCAGGAGGCGCCCTCCTTCCCAAATCTTCATGGGTTTGCCACGCCAAAAGCTCTTGGAACCTTCTCCTCTTTAGGTTTTTATGGAGGCTTCACCACACAGGCATAATTCATTAAATCACTGGCATCTGACTTCACTCTCTAGCCCCTCCCCACTGCCCTGGAAGTTGGTGGGTGGGACAGAAAGTTCCAATCTTCTAATCACTAGGTTGGTCCTCCAGGCAATCAGCCCCCATCCTTAGGTGCTTCTGAAAGTCACCTTATTCACATAACAAAAGACACCTGTATTGCTCGCATCACTGAGGAAATTCCAAAGGTTTTAGGCAAACCGGGAGGAAGACCAGATACATATTTCTTATCATAAATCAGAATATCAGCCACCTACGCCCCACCTTTCCTCACTGGGTGCTCATTCTCAATGGTGTGCAGCTCCTCTCCGAGATCTTTGTCAGAACTGTGGGAATGCAAGGACTTCTGTAGCTCAAAAGGCCAGGAGTGAATTCCAGCCTCAGGCAGGGCCGGAGCCTTTGAGAACCTCCCTCCCTCTCCCTCCGGGTCTCCAGCTTCACGTCTCACTTAGACGACTTCCTTCCACACACTCACGCCTCAAGGTGGCAAAGAAGACCCTCAGAAGCTCCAAGCGGACACCCTCCCAACTGAACCACCCCAGCCAGGAAGGTGTTCCAATTTCTCAGCCATCCTTTTGAGTCCCAGGAATGAATCTCACTGGTTTAGGTCAGTCACATGGCCACCCATGGGCCAATCACTTTAGCCAGGAGTCAGAATGCTCAGATTGGTCAGGCCTTGGTCATGCGCCCACCGTCCTGGGCCTCGGGGATGAGGGTCAGTTTCGCCCTAATTGTCTGGACACAGAGCAGAGGAGGAGCAGTTTCCACAGGAAAAAACAGGGGTTGGGAGGGAGGCCAGACCTTGAGCCGTAAAAATTGTAGAAGCCCACGGCCTGTGTCCTGCTGGTTCACAGTGGCATAGCTGCACAGCTGAACGCCCAGATCTGGGTTGTACACACCTGCGTCTGAAGCTGCCTCCATCACTTTCCAGAACCCGGGCAAACAGGCATCTTGTTGACCATCAGTTTCCTCATCTGTAAAGTGGGTAGAAAACTAGTATCAACTCACAGATTTATAAAGATGACAAAAAATGTAATAAATAGAATAGGACATTTATCACAAAGAAGGTGCTAATAACACAGCTAATAATAGTGGTCCTTTGAGAAATCTCAGTTCTCAACGCCCATAAATATCCCAGTTCCTGGCTTCTGGATGAGATTCTCTTTGTTTTCCTCTGTCCTGTTTCTTCCTCAATTATTTGCCGCTTTGCCTTTTTTTCCTTCTTGCAAAGATTAAACACACACACACACACACACACACACACACACACGAGTCCAGCCCAAATAACCCACTCACATAAAACAGGAGGAAGTAAAGATCTGTGGAATTCATTTAAATTTAACTATGAGCAACCAGAGACTCGTGTGGTGGAAAACATGCAAAAGGCTTGAAGGAGGAAAGAGGATATTAACATTGTAATTTTCCCAATCATATCGAGACATCTCTTTCAGCCCTAATGACAGGATGCATAGCACATTTGTCAAAAACTGCTACATCTCCAAGCAGAAACCTAATAAATTGAGTTTCTGCTCAGTGACAGGGTAGGCTGAGGTCGCTGTTGGTTTTGTTGAGTTTTTTTTTT